AAGGGACAGTTTCGAAGAAAGACTCGACTATGGTAACGCACAGCCTGCAGCTACCTTCGTGTATCAGCCCGAATGGTGGAAATCTCGATGACTTTGCCGCCTTGGTGGGTACCATTTCACAATTTCCTGAGGCTCGGTAAGCTAATAATACGGTTATAGATGACCTGTTTCTTCTGGTTCGAGACGATGGACACGATAACTGCCGCGGAACATATCAAGGAACGACTTCCCTCCGATCCAATTCCCCCGCTATCCAAGTATACGGAGCCTTGCAGCGCGTATAAGCAGTGGGTTAACAAGATCCTTTCCACGACCCAAGTAACACAGAATGTGATTCTGTTGGCGTTGCTATTCGTGTATCGATTGAAGAGAGCGAACCCGACAGTGAACGGGAACCCGGGTAGCGAATATCGGCTCCTAACTGTGGCCCTGATGCTGGGCAATAAGTGTAAGTTTTCTGATAGCAACTTATAGCAAAACTTGCTAACAAATTGTAGTCCTGGATGATAACACCTACACGAACCACACATGGGCCGAGGTCTCGTCAATTTCTGTGAAGGAGATTCACGTCATGGAAGTCGAGTTCCTGAGCAATATGCGATACGGCCTACTAACTTCCAAGGAAGAGTGGGAGGATTGGCTGAACAAGTTAGCTTGTTTCCACGAGTACTGCGAAAGGGCAGTGATGGAGGAGAGACGTCGGAATGCTGCGCCTCCCATGATGACGAGTGTACCGTCACCGACCCATGGACGATTCGTATCCCCATTGCCCTCGCCGACTAGTATGTTGCCATCAACCGCGCAAGGTACACCATCGTCGCTCACCGCTGCTTACTCTCCGAACCCAGCCGTCCAGGCACAAAATTGGAGTAACTACCACCCCACTCCTTCGATTTCTCCCCTTGCAACCAAACCAAGTTTAGGACATCCCATGGTACGAAAGAGAAGCTTAGAGGGAGGTGATGCCGTCGAGCCCGCTGCGAAGAGATCTGTTCAGTACCCTATTCCTTCGAGGATGCCAGCTCGACCAGCTCATACAGGCGCCGAGCCGGTTCGTCTCCCGGTCCCGCACCTGACACTCGATACCAGCCAGGCTATTGTCACTCCCACATATCCACCTCAAGCATCCTACCATCCTCAGCCGGTAGTGTCGCTACCTCCTCTTGGGCCTGGAATGCGGGCTATGTCGACCGTGTACCCGACTACCACCACCAGCTGGACTCCTCAAGGTCCGGTACTCGCTACTTGCGGACCGCAGACGCCGTCGTATGCTCTTCCGCCTAATTACGGCACGCCGACAAAGCGACAGAGCCCCACAAGTTTGACTCCGTTTGGCTCATCCCCGTTGGCTGAACCGTATGGAATACATACTCCCATCTCGAATTCGCCGTTGGCATATCTACAACAGCGAGCGAGTCCTTATAAACCGGTTCGCCGGGTGAACACTCTTCTTAACCCGCCTCCATCCATCCCTTTGTCTCAGTATCACCTAGGCTCGAGCCAGATGCACTACCAACCCCTCGGTCGCCGAGATGACCTACGCTCCGGTATCGTTCCGGAATTTTTACCCACATACACCAACCAGCGACCTCACAATCACCCTTATTAGTGGGTATTCTTTCTCAACTCCATCGGCATTCTTGTTATTTCAACACAGCACCTGCGAAAGAGAGAGCATTTTTTTTCTTACGTTTCTGCTCTCTTCGCATCATCTGCATTGGCATTGGCGTTGGACGGCGGCATACAGTCGGTATGGAATCGACTCCTCACGGACATGGTCATTTTTTTCTTCCACAATCACCGGCATTGATACAACAGGCGTTTGGGAATTCTTCGCGGTAGCATTTCGCAGCACTTAAGTGCAAGCTAGACTCTGGACATGGCATATTATTTTTTTCGGCCATGTGTCCAGGCGAGTTAGAACAAACTAAGTGGACGAAGGGTTTGCGGATGTTCTTGACATCTCCAGTTTGGGGAGACAGCCGAGTCGATAGACCATGGTGATCTAGTCACTGGACCGGATTCTCAAGAGGACAAACAGCTTTCAATAGCTGGTATTGTTTTGCAGTCTTGTAGATAGACGAAATATCAGCATGATCACAACGCATGAAACAAATCTGAATGTCGTCCTTGTGATAAATAGTACACATACGTGTAGACATGGCGATGTATAATAATACATACCTACATAGTAGGTAGGATGTAATATCAATAGCAAGCTTCTTACATGTCGTGGTAAAACTTGATTATGATGATGTCACTTGGACCCTGAATCTCCGAATTCAATAGCTCTCTATGCGGGGCACGTAGGTGGGGTTGTTCCCCAATGAGGGGAAATTTGCTTGCCTCTTTTCGTTTTGATTGGTCTGGCGTTCAGTTGAATTGGCCTTTCGGCGAAACTCTTTTTGCGGCTGATGGCTGGGGACGGTTTACGTAAGTCGCACTTAACCTTGCTGGCATCATTGACGGGCACAAAGTTCACGTGCCTATTACATAAGTATCCAATTGTTTTTTTTTCGATATGTGGCTAGCTCCCCACGCCCGAATTCCAAGGCGGGGAAAAGCAACTCAACGTTGAAACTAACATTGCCGCCGTAGCTTTACTTTAGTACCTTGTATTAATATTAGCACTTCCGAGGAGGTATTCATTCCGCAGCTCGAAAGCGATTAATAATGGCTTCTTCTTTCATTTCCCACAGATTCACACACCATATTCCAATTCAGGAATACAAGCTCTGTCTCTCGCAAAGTGCTGCCGTAAAGTGGGTAAGGAGGTTCTGGTGTTAGGTAAAGAACTGTCTATTTTGAGACAAAGGTAGCACTCGATTGACCTCATCGGTCAACTTAATTTTTGGTGTTATACCTCAAGTGCTACGGGATCACCTCGGTGGTGGAAAGGGAACACCAGGTTTGGGCAAATGGTCTAGTGCTTGACCTCGGCTGTGACGGGAACGAGACAAACAACGAAAATCGGACTTATCGTGGTGTTTGGATGAGTCAAAGGAGGTTTGATGGCAGCTTGTATGAGGGTTGAAATATCTATATAATAAGCTGAGTTGGGCTGGGTTGAGTCTTTGAGAATTAACTTAACCAAAGCTATTGTATCTACCATACCAAGGCACTCGTCTGAGATTACTACCGATCAATGAACACCGCTCGCCGCACACTAGCAACTATGGCCGCCTCGAGGATGAAGTCTTGGTTCCCGACCACCACGTACCCGCTAATTGTTAGCGCGCCGATGGACTTCGTCACAAACTCGAAGCTCGCCGCTGAGGTGACCAAGGCCGGTGGTCTGGGTTCGTCGCCTCCCCTCCCCCTTTCTCCCTTTTCTCCCTTTTCAAAGCAACTGCTGCTGTATCTTTCATATAACTAACACACTGCAGGATTCATCCAAGGCGGTCGAGACTTCACTCCGGGATCTCCAGTCCTGAAGAAACTCGACGGACAGCTCACCCAGGCGCGCGAGTTCCTCGGCGCCTCGGCTTCTAACAATAATAACAGCACCATCCTGCCCATTGGCGTGGGCTTCGTCCTGTACACAGCCACCACGCAGCACTTCGGCGATACCGTGGTGCCCATCCTGCAGCGGTACCATCCCGCAGCCGTCTGGCTCTTCGCGCCGTCGCCTAAGGTCCCGGACACTATTGCGAGCGTTATTAAGGCGCTGAAGTCTGCCTCGGACGACTCGTGGAACCCTAAAATAGTGGTCCAAGTCGGCTCCGTGGCAGCGGCCCGCGAGGCTGCTGCCGGCGGCGCGAATGTGATTGTCGCGCAGGGCGTCGATGCCGGGGGGCATCAGTGGGCTAGTGGTGCTGGGGTTGTGAGTTTGGTCCCGGAGATCGCGGATATGCTGCGCGAGGAGTTTGGTGATAAGGAGATTGTCGTATGGGCTGCGGGTGGGATCGCGGATGGGAGGGGTGTTGCGGCGGCGCTGGCGTTAGGAGCGGAGGGGGTTGTGCTTGGTACAAGGGTAAGTAACTCACAGTACAATGGTTTATGGTCTATTAGGTCGGTCTCGTGGGGAAAGCTGTTTGCTGACAGTGCGTTAGTACATGGTGGCGACCGAATCCAACGCGCAGGACTTCAAGAGGAAGGTGATCTTGAGCATATCAGATGGTGGCGCGAACACGGTGAAGTAAGTCGGCATACTAGCCCCTTCATTATTCGCTACGTCATCTTCTGGGCAAACCTCACGAGCATCGTCGATGTTTTGAATCAGGGAGTTCTTGACTAACAGGCCCAAGGTCGCAACTGCACGACCAGGTCCAAGGCAACATGGATTGGCCCGATCTCTACGACGGCCGCGCCGTCGTCACCCCGACCTACCGAGACCACCGAGCCGGCGTACCGCTCGATGAGAACGCGAAGAGGCTCAAGGCTGCGAAGGAGGGTGGCGATACCTCCAGAATGGTTACCTGGTCGTGAGTACCGACCCCTTTTCATTTGGATTGATTGAACGACTCGGGTGGCATCGCTAACCATTACCAGCGGAACGGGCGTCGGCCTCGTCAGGGAGGAGCTCCCGGCGGCGGAGATTACGAAGCAGGTGCGAGACGGCGCGCTGAAGGCGATTGCCAGCCTCAAGTCCTCTTTGTAGATGGAACCTCCATGCCGTGGTTATTGAGAGATATAATCGTACTATTTCGAGGTGCAGGGGATGCATTCGCTTATGATCTACCTACGTGTACGTAGATGAGGGGTTAGAAATATTGGAAATTGAACCCACAGCGATTATCACGATAGAAACAAATAGAGCTCATTAATGCTAAAATGTGCTTTACATTTTGGTTGTTTCGGAAGAAGTTGGTACTTGATTGAAGGGGTCCGATTGAAGCCAGGCCTGCGCTACCCCTTTTAAGCACATAATCCGCACGTAGGTGATGCCCTCAACGACAACTTATTTTGGATGATGAAGTAATCAGAGCACTAGAATAAGGAAAGAGAAGAAAAGAAAGCGGGAAAAAAAAGAATGGAAAAAATAAAGTCCAAAAAGGTGATGACCTGTGTGGGATTCGAACCCACTCCTCAATCCCAATGCGACTTACTCTCAACTGAAGGTCTAGGACCCAGGAGAACGTAGTAGGAGCGTGCTACCATTACACGACCAGGCCTTTGTTTGATTGTTAATTTACCAGTTGGCAGTTGCGAATTATATGTCAAATGCTTTTGAATGGCGGTACTTCGGATGATGCCTATGGCAACGGGTGGGTTTGAAATTAACTAGGAAGGAACGTCACGGCGGTATCGTACTTTACACATTACACCTTCCCGTAGCGCCCGGGATTCTTGGGATTAATATGTAGACGCCTACACGTAGATACGTACATATTCAGGCGGATTATTCTCCTAAGCCCCATCGACCTTCGATTCGAACCCGCGATTTTGAAAAACCTAAATATCTTGATCCTGGGGCTCCCCCAGGCTCACTCAGGTACGCACCTAGGTATTATTCCTCAGTAGCATTGCAATATAGCTTACGAGGCCTAGAGAGTGGTAAAGAATTGGTATCAGTTACCTCTTATTCATCATAGATATATCATCTAATATCTACCAAGCCTATGATTTACAAGATAACATGAAAGGCTGAGCATAGCAACGCAACTGCCAAAGCCGCACTACTAGCCATACTCCTCGCCGCAGCGCTGTCTCCCTTTCTATGGTCCGCAGTCGCCTGGCCAGCAATCTCATCGTACGCCGGCTGCGGATCCTTACTCGCAACCGCAGAATCAGACTGCACGAACCCCTCATCACCCCCATACAGCTGCTGGCCGGGCGGTAACGCGATCTGCTTATCATCGATCCACGCCGGCGCACAGGCACGGATCGTCTTGTCCTCCAGATCATCCTCGTCGTCATCGCAATCAGAAAGCTTGCCATCCCAGCACCGGAGATGCGGCGTGAGGCCGTAGTGTCCGGCCCGGCCGACGGGGATGTCGGCGGCGCCCACGGTGTGGTTCATCACGATGGTGGAGTTGAAGTTCGTGCTGATGACTGCGCTGGGGTTGGCGTGTTCTTGTATGAGCGAGAAGATGTTCTTTTGTGTGGCGCTGCGGACGGATATGAAGCGGATTTCGGGACGGAGGACGATGCCCACTGTGTTGTTGTTAGCTCTATTCATAATCTGATAACGAGGATTTTACGTACTGGCGTAATGATGGAACTCGCATGTGTCCTCCTTGCCACCGTCCTGGCGCGCAGTGTCGGTCGTGCAATTTACCCACGCAGACGTCATGAAGGTCTGGTTATGCGTGGTTGTGAACCCATCGCCGCCGCCTTGGCCTGTGAACTCAATCTTGTCGCACTCCCCTGCCACCAAGGGTCCCGCCAGTGCCACAGCCGAGAAAATAGTAATCCAGGTCTTCATCTTTCAAAAATCTTGATTTTCGCTGTTGTTATTGTTTGCGAAATGCTCAGCGTGAGTAAGATATTCGTAAGTTTACACATCGCGAACATTCAACAACTGGCGACATCGTGGCTGCAGTATAAATAGTGCAACAAAAGATGCATCTTTCGTTTAGGCGGTAAGTTACCATGCGTCATGGCTCCGCAGATCAACACTGGTCCCGCGATGTTGGTTCTAAATGCGTGAAACACAGCCGGAGGATCTCCTGCTGTGCCGCTGCCGGTCTCCTTGGCATGGCTCCCGATGAAGCTCTCAGCCCCCGTCTCCGGGGAACAACGGTACAATGGGGAATAGCTCCGGAGCATGAACCGTATGGAAAGTTTCAGAGAATGGCCGGTGCTTTTGCTAGGATTTTGCGTATAATGGGGTTCATAGCTGCGCCACGGTGTAGTCTTCCAGGCAACCGCTGTTGTTTCTATTGATTTCGTGATTGTCAAGAGATTATTACGTAGATTGGTATGGAATAATTCAGTGCAGTTGTTGGATTGGGACTGGAATATCCGCTTCCAATGTATATACAATTAGAGGCTTGACCTAGTGCTCTAAGTTAGGGCGAGACAAAGGACTCCTATAGTATAGGCGTATAGCTCTAGGCAGCGAAACTTAGAGCTCTTCGCGCGACTTCATTATTGCTCATATTTCTCTCGGTTTATGTCACGGTAAAAACAATCGAGTTGCAACTATTGAGACATATCAATATATAATCGTGAACACTAAAGTCGAGATAGCCAGCTGGTTAGATGAAGGGTAACCTTGCCTTTTTAAGACGTAATTACTTGGAGAAGTTCATGAAGAGCCTACCCAAATAAGGTATGGTCTTTATAAAAATTTAAGTATTTATGAGATATTGCAAAAGTCCAATAGCTTTACGAGGAGTTCCGCTCTTATACTACTTCTAACGAAGCTACCCTCTTGGAACATTACGCTCCAAAAACTACCGCTTTAGCAGAAGAACTGCGATCTTTTGGCTACACGAGAGTGTTATTTTGCCGCAAAGAGGATATTTACGATGATTCCGTTCATAGAGAAGCGTACATACATGTATCTATCATCTTGCTTCGGAAGATGCAATGTCATCCAAAAAATCGTAATTTAGGCTTAGGTTTGAATGCCCTCTCACACTTATCCACGTGGCTTAACACGACTAGGCGGTTGATCCTTTAATCGTATTGCGCTTCCGGAACCAGGGTCGTCCCCTAAAACATGTGATACTTAATGGTGTACGTGACCGTCCTGGGGGAACGCCGGGAATTGTTATATTCTTTACAGAGACCACGTATAGGCAAGTCCTCGAAGCTCGAGTTGATGATAACTTCGTAGGCATGAGTTGTACTTTCAGCCATTGGTTCTATAGGCACATTTACATTGAAGCGATAAGTTGAAGCAGCTGGATCCGGTTGGAATTATGTGAGTGGTTAGTTTGCTAGATCGTAGGCTCTCCTGTGTATTTGCGGATGCCTAATCCGCCCCCTTTCCCCCGAGAATTGGTCTACAGAATAAGCCGAGTCTTCACTTCAGGGGCTACAATTTCTGTTAGCAACAGCTCAATGGCCTTATGGATCTCAACTCGAGCATACAGTTCATTAGGTTGCTCAATTTTAATGCGGCCATGAATATGATCTATGCTTACTTTTGCTTTTGCTTCTCTGTATGTTGAGGTACTGTGGTTATAACTTAATTTGGTACCTTTCTTGGATTCATTGTGAAAAGCCTACATGCCTTAGCCACGGCCCAAAGGAGCAGGAAAAGGGGTACCTATTCCCTCTCGAAAGGATTCGACCACGTCATTGTCAATGGGCTTCTTGTGTCGCCTACCTATGTACTCTGGCCTTACGTAGGATACCTCTATGCTAACTTGTGCCGACGCGCATTTGAGTCATGTATGGTTTCGCCCTGGAAAACGCGACTCTCAATGAATTGGATCTTTGTAAGGTATTACTAGACAATATCGACTAAGAAGGGCCTCATCTCGCGAGACAACTGTCCATCCATCTGCCAGCAAAGAGCGAGATGCTTGAGCACAGCAAGTTCGTGTCTCGGGCAGACGTGAACCAGTTTTCTCAGAACCGTTCGACGGCGTGAGGAGTGGCTATTATCACGAGCGAGTCGCAACTCGCGGAATAGTACCGCCATGACTACTTAGGTTCAGAAAACACGACGAGAGTCACATTATAGGACAGCGCATTTGCGTCCTCCACGGATTTGTCTCGCTTATTTGAGGCCGGCAGACGAAATGGGAAATCACTTGGCAACCTACCTGGTAACCTAAGGTAGTCGTGGAATCGTGTCCCAAGAATGATCCACCTGTGCCTGATGCATAGAAGATGAGGATCTGTTGTACGACAGAACGGGTCGTGGCAGATATGGCATTTGTAGCTGATGAGCGAGAGCCTTGATGGCTGGTCGAGGACGATAGCGATTGGCCAGAGGCAGCGATCCCCGTGCGACAGAGGGGCTGAGTTGGCATAAGACAAAAAAATGTGGCCGGGAGCCTGATACATCATATAATTGAGGGTGGTTGCACAAGCAGGCATTCCGTTGGGCATCAACGCTAGATTGACGATCAAGGAGCGTGGGGGAATGAGACGTTGTGGACTCGTCGATCAAGTGGTTACACTCACCTAATGTCTTAGCGTTCACGCCGGGAGCCCGATGTGGGAACATTGAACATCGTGAGATTGAGCATGTAGTTGTAGGAAGCGTAAGTAGGAAATTCATCGGTGACAATATCGCAGACAACCATTGCCAATTATACCAATTCAACCCAAAACTCCGTCCATGCCTCGTACAATCGTCGCTCTCGTATCATACACACATAGCAAACCTAATTCCAAAAACTATTACCTGTAGTACAATGACGAGAGCCCTCCGGTTCCTATGCTGTGGCTACTGTGTAAGCCGTTCTGTAGATGTGCATCAATATTCCTATAGCTCAAAGCGCATTCCCGTCATCCTTGCCGAACGTCGCGGTCCGTTGCTGAAACTTTTCCAAATCACGTAACTTCATAAAATAATATCCATAATCATCAGACGTAATGCCTGTTATGCGGCTGCTGGGGGATCACAGCCGCCCGCGCCACCTTCCGAGGTCTTAGAACCTTTCGAACCGGAGGACTTGCGGCGATGACGCTTCCTTTTAGTGAAGCGAATTGATTTCCCGTAAAAGTAGAGGAACACGAATGCGCCGACTATAAACGCAGCCAAAAGGACGCCGACCACCACGCCAATCGTGGTGTTCACATTGTCTGCCCCCGCTCGCTTTTGTAGGCTTGGGGTGTGATTAAGCGTATTTGAGAAGGCATCGAAGCCGAAAGAATATAGTTGGCGCGCCGAGGATAAGATACGCTCAACGGGAAAGGGGAGTTCGTAAGCGGATGGGAGTCCCGCTCCGAGCTTTGTGGCCGGGGCCAGGGAGGAGTCGGGATTGGGACGGGGATGGTTCGTCTGGGGTATATACATTTCAGGCAATCTACACACCGAGGGGGCGGGAGATTATGAATGAGGTTGTCGAAGCGTGACGCGCCATGGGGCGCAGTGAACGTAGAGAAGCGAAGCGAAGGAGATTTAGCAACAAAGAGGTACCTACCGGAGGCAGGGAGGTCGGGCGACGAGAGCGATTTTATTCTCTGCAGCCGCTCCAACCAACTCCAACCAGGGTCGCAATGTGTAACTAGACCATCGCTGCGGGAAGGGGTCTCCTCTCGCGTG